GATAGGACAAAAGGTGATCACTATCACTCAGCCTGATCCTTGAAATACGCTCGTCTTGCGAAGAAAGAACGGTTCTTGAATCTGGGGTGCACAAACCCCAGGGGAGTAAGAAAACTCCCAACAAGCATGTAAAATGAAGGAATTGTGTGCGTGTAAGTATATGTTGTAAGTATAAAGAAAAGATGAAATCTAAATTTAATGTGACTAAAAAGAATGCTACTTGTAGATTTTGCAAATAAATCTATCACGGAGCATATAAGCACGTTATTTTTATTTTACATGTTATTTGAATTAGAGGAGAATAATATCATGTATATAAATCGGTTTCCCATAAATCATCCCAGGAACACGGTTTCGAGTCAAGTATTGGCCCTTGTCCTTTGTATATATAACTCAAGATATCAGAAATGCGCATGAGCCCGCTTATATACATTTTATATTCTTCGTCCAATTCCCTTTATTAAATCTCATGTTTGTCTGTTTAATCTAAGTGAATGTGCATGAAATATTATGCACTAACCACAGAGTTACAGTGGAACGACTTTCGTAAAACTATGAAAATAATTGTGACTCAAGAACATGTCCAAACAAGATGGGTGCAAAAAAATCTAGTCGATGCTAATATATAATAATAATAATCAAGGGAGTTCTTCACACCTGGATATCGATGTCGAGGGTGTAGCCATGCTATGATAGCACGCTTATGAATCATATTTTTGACGGACTCATCTTCATGCACGGTCTAGCCTATTTGATGACATTAATGATCAACAAGGATTAGAACCACACAATCTATTTCAATGTATAACAAGATCCACAGTATGAGCTAACTGCTTCACTAAAATGATATAAGTTTAAACTGGTAAGGAAAAAAATAATTAAATTAAAATTGGAAAAGAACAAAAGACGTGATCAATTAAAAAGATCTATAGAGCCAAATAATCTAGTTCTAATGAACCCAAAAACTATAAGAAAAATTAACGATCCAAGGATTCGAGCTAGGACCAAATAACACAGAAGCTATAGCTAATCATGGGCTCCAAGGCCTTGGTTTCGTGCACATGACGCTACACACAATGCTATTAATCTATATACTAATTTTTAGGATAACTTCACAGTCTGATACTCTTAAGATAAGTCGTCTGCTTGTTTAAAGGTTCTGGGGAAAACTAACAAATTTGCTGTATACAAGATATGGCCGAAAATAAACTAAATTAACAATGCTTTTAAATAGAATGTTGATAAAGTCAAATATTCAAAGGTTCTAACTACCTAAGCAAATGTAAAGGAAAAACTTATAGTTCCCCCATCTATGCAAAATATCAGAAAATAATAAAGTCATGGAATAATGATTTTTACATTGGAAATCTTAACAAAAGCGTCACCTCTAAGCACTCATAACCAAATATATGAATAGAACCATCATAACAAAGGTGAGCTGTGCATTACGTAATCTGATTTTTTTTTGTAACACATCTCCTAAATACATATCTTTATAAAGAAGCTCATGGTCATACACATGGAAGAAATAAAAATTATCTATGAATTATGAGCAATAATTTTAACATTTGGATCTAGAATATAATATTTGGTAGACTTGTCCAACATCTATATGGCAAGAGTTCTAAGTTTCTGATGTTTGATAAAAAGTCAAAAACATCTAGAATCTTAAGATTTGAACGTAAATAGCAACAAGAGAGATTTTATCATGAGCTTTAGGTATAAAACATCATTGTGAAGTGAAAATTCAAACAAGATAAAAGGAGAGAAAATTATGCTTGCCGAAATTCGAGAGAAACTCCAAAAGCTAAAGCTAGGCAAGTAATTCCTTTTTTTTTCCTTCTCTCAATTGTAGCTGCTGCTTCCCTTCCCCTTCCTTTCTTTTTCTTTTTTTTTTTTCCATTTATTTGAAGTACCGTGAAGAATAAGGGTAAAGGGGATATCTACAGATTTTTTTAAGAGATAAAGTGGTTAGGTTGTTAGAGATTTTCTAGGATGTGATTTTTTTTGTTAGAAACAAAACAGTTTAAACAAATTCGTGAAACCAAATCATACTCCATTTAAAAGCACGAGTTCTGAAAAACTTTCTATGGTCAATATTACCATTCACTATTTTAAATATTTTATTTAAATCTTAATCTATCCTAATCATAATTATATCATATCCTAATCCAATGCGCACTACCTACAGCTCAACAATTTAAAAAAATAAGGTTAACAAAATACTTAAAACATCTGTATTGTATTAATTTGTTAAGGTAAAGAACTAAAATGCTATATTATATGAAGTATTACAAAATAACCCATTTTTTTTAAAATTGTGCAAAATATGAAAACTTTAAAATTACACAAAACATCCTGGCATTTCATAACTTAAAACAATATATATGAAATTTGAAAATTAACACCAGCCTTTAAAAAATTTAAAATCTGCAAATAACACATTCTGTGAGACCCCAACTTTAGTCATACATCGGGTGTTTACAGTGAAATTGTGTGGCTTAAATAGGTAATCCCAGGACTCTAAGTGTAACATCGGCCAGTCAATTTTGGCAGTTGATTGACATAAATAACGCGATACACTCGGTGGGTCCTACGGTTTGCACGCACCAACGGGCCCGCGAGCCTACGGCTGACACCCTCAATGTTTTAAAAATTATAGAAACACCCTCAAAAGTTTAGATAATAAAAAACACCCCAAAATTCTAAAATTTCAAAACTTACAAACAACAAAGATGAATTCAAGAGATTACTATCTGGCACTTGAAAATTTAAAATTTATAAAAAATAACCTTAAAGTTATAAAAATTGTAAAAGCTCATTCAAAAGGTGAAAATCACAAAAAATCCCGAAATTTCAAAACTTATAAGCAATACATATCAAATCTAAAAACTATCACCAGACCACTAAATTTTGAATTTTTCAAAAAAAAAAAAAAAATCAAAAGTTTTAATAATTGTAAAAAACACCATCAAAATTTTAGAGTTGTAAAAAATATCTTGCAATTCAAAAACTTACCACCAACACATAAAAATATAAAAATTACAAGCACCTAATTTAAAATTTAAATTTTTTATAAAACACTCTCAAAGTTTTAAAAATTATAAAACACACCCTCAAAATTTTAAAATCACAAAAAGACTAAAATTTCAAAACTTAGCAAAGAAAAAAATAGTTGTTTGATATTTTTTCATTAACATATGTAAATTTAACTTCTAATTTAAGGTTTCCTATCACTTTCAGCATCTAAATACAGACTAATTTCATCAAAAAAGATAAAGGTGGAGAAGCATCGATGTCGGTTAAATAAAAAATAAAATGGAAGGAATGAAAGACACTGATTTATGAATATTTTATAGAATAGTTTATTTTTTTGAGTAAATTAGGAATCTTTAGAAGAGATTTTCATGAACTTTATAAGTACTTTTATATGCTTAAGTGATTGCTTTTATCATTTAAAAGTATACATTTATGATTTTTAAAGTAAAATTAGGGATACTTTTATATGCTTATGTGGATTTCATAAACTTTTTGAGTTAGCATTAATCTTTAATTTATGATTTTTTAAAGCCTATCAAAGATTAGGAGCAAACTACATATTCTCTTTTGTGTTGTTTTAACACACTTTTAACCAATCATATTGTCTTATTAGATTTAATTATTCATTTTCTTTTTGTAACGCTATTTTTTAAGTGTTTTTCACTTTTGCAATACTATGCGTTCTCAGGTCATGCTTGGTTTCATGTCGGTACAAATAACATGATTATTTAAATTGGCTTCGGATTACATTTATTTCCAATCAATTCAATTTTTAATATGAAAATTTAAATAGGATGTAGCTCACTTAAATGGATATTAAAGAAAATAAATAATCACAATGCTAAAGTTTATAGATATAAGTGAGCAAAGACAATTAAAGTGAACCCTAGGAACAAATTTTAATAGGAAAATAAACAAAAAATACTTAATCATGACATTTAACTACGTACATTGTACGTGCATAGAACCTAGTTTTTGTTAAATGTGGGAGATAGTTTCCCAAACTCACTCTCCAGATCTCACATGTGAATGAAAATCAAAGGGGAAGAGTGGAGTTCTATATTCATGGGCTTAACACTAATGGGCCTTTGAGACACTTGATTTTTTTCAATCCCTTCATCATGTGGGCCTCCAAATTAATTGATTGGTATATAAAAAAGGATTATTACAACCAAGAAGGCTTGGTTTGGTAGAAGGTACAAGAAGGAAAAGCAAGGTAATGTAGTGTTCAATAAGGTGCAAGAATGATATACATTTTGTGGTTCTTGGTTGGTTGGTGAGGGAATAAGAAGAGGTACATGACTTTTTAAGTTTATTTTGCATCTTCTCTCTTCTCATTCTTGTGTCCCTTCAAATTAGATGAATTTTCTCTCTTCACTTTCTAGTTTATTTTGTATTTTCTCTAGTTTCGCCTCACTTTACTCTACTTCACCTTATCCTCTAAAAACCCTCTTAAACCCCCTGCCAAAGAGGGTTTTAAAATTTATCCCGCACTTTACTTTACCTCATATCCTACCAAACCAAGAGGAAGTGGAGAGAGAAAGAGAGGGGGATGGGAGAGAGAATCTCACCCGGCCCAAGAAAAAAGGTCACATAGAGCATTAACTAAGAGTATAATGGAAAAAAGATCACATGAGACATTGTATTTGGGGTCTAAACGTATTAAACACTCAGTTTAGGGGCTAAAGGACATATTGACCTAGTCTCAAGAGGTTTATCACATTTTATTTCATAAAAAACAGTCTCAAAGCATTTTTTCCTTTTAAAAAAATAGAGAAATACTTTTAAAATATCTAATTTTGAGAAACCTATTTCAAAACACAAAGTATGAACTAAATATTAAAAAAGAAAAAAGAAAAAAAGTGGAAAAAGGTGCGAAAAGGTGAACAAGTTCATAATTAAAACGGACGGGGCAAATGGGCCTCTCTTTGTACACGTACCCGGACCCTGCAGCCCACGACTTCAATCCACCGCCCCAAGCCCTCTCACCAAAAAGTTCACCTTTCCTCTCCGATCGAAAAACCTCAAGATCGTCTCCTCCCTTCCTATTTCCCGCCCAAAATCCCACTTCGTAATTCACTCAAACACCTCTCCTACAATGTCCAGCGACAAAATAAACCTCCTGCTCCCCGCCGACGACGAGATCGAAGGCGACCGCGACGCCACCGCCGACTTCGCCTTCGTTCGCATCGGTGCCTCCGTCCCTCTGAAACCCTCGGAATCCGTGTCCGGCCTCCAAAACCCTCCATCGCAGTGCCGTTGGTGGAAAGATTTTATTCTTTTCTGTGCCTTCTCTTCTTAACAAGGTAGGGATATTTTTGGGGTTTTGATCTCTAATTTTGTTTCTGTGAGCTCAATTCAACATATAATTAGGACACTCCTTCCAAATGATAGCTTTTTCTTATTAGACATCAAATGGCAACCTTGATGAATATGCACGCCTTTTATGCTTTTCGTTTTCCCCTGTAAGTATTCAGCCAAATATGTGGACGCAATATAATACCAGGGATGATTCGGTAACTTTGTTCACGTGGATGGTTTATGTTGCATCTATGAGAGTAAAGCAAATGGGGAGAAAATAATCTTAGGACCAAATTACGAAATGTATCATTTTATTTGTTAAAGATAGTTAAATTTTATTCATGGCTGCACCAACAGTGTAGAATCAAGCTTATGGGCTAGTTAAGGAAACTTTACAACAGTAGTTGAAGGAAAGAAAAAAAAAATGATAATTGTCCTAAAAATCAATTTTGCATATGCCTACGTGGCTAAACATAGAACTGCTTTAAGTACTAAGTCAACTGTTAGGAATATACAAGGCACAAAAGATATCTAGATGTGCCTTTTTAAAAATTTAATGATCCAGAATGAGGATAGAGTCTCAGGGGGGATTGTGATGGCTTAAAAGAAAAAAAAAGGTGTCCTGTAGATGTTATATGTTATATGTGGAGTTTTAACTAGCTTGGTACCAATTTGAATCAACGTAGAACAATTCTTATCACCATGGGTATTAACATCAAGTAATCTCTTTGCATTAGTAAGATTTGTTGATAAAGTTCTTTCATATATTTTTCATAGTCTCATTTAGTTGAATAGGTAGACAAAGGATGATCTTCAAGGTAGAATACTGGAAAAGTTTTATCGTCTAAAAGATTTATAGTCAAGAAAGATAATCATATATTGAGGAATTTAACCTTCATTAACTTATGAAAAAAGTAACTGTACAATTCATGTTGATAGCTGTGTAAATATCTAGAAGCAACCATCTTTTTCCCCCTTCCCTAATGGTTTGATTGACGGAGTTTCTTCTTTACACCAGAGAAGGATAGTTGATACTTGATGACAATTTTCTGAAGCCTTGACTAATTGTGGAACTACCCCTGAATTAAAGGGATGATGTTATGAGATTGCCATCTGACTAACTATTCTTTACATGTTATTTAATAATTGAGAAATAACATGTCAATAAAATGGTTAAAGTTGACTAAGCATGTCGTAATGGGTGTACAATGTGTAATATGCTAAAGGTAAAGTCAAAATTAATGCATGCATAAGAAGCCATAAGCAGTTTAACAGATGACAAAGTGCTCGCTGTTAGTTGAGTTATATTGTCAACATGTAACGAATGAGCTATTTAGGAGGAGTAACACTATAGTTAATGGATCATGGAGCAACAAAGGGATATGTAGACATCTTTGACCATTTGATGTGGAGGGGGAAGCATTCATTTCTTTCTTTAGGGGGTTGAAGCAATTTCCCTTACGTTTTTTGATTTAAACTGTTTTCTTTTAAAAACCAAAAAAGGGGCAAAGATGTTGGCTTGAGCCCTCTTTGTGTTAGCTATTTTTAGCTACTTCTGACACGATATCATTGGCTATTAAAGAGAGAAGGCGATGGAAGCAATGAATGAAATCGTACTAAGCAAACAAACCCTAGATTCATGTAGTCACTCTTGTTGCGAACCAATGTCATGTTCTTCTGGCATGATATTAATGACTAATAAATAGAGAAGGCAATGGCTGAGATCAACCCTTCACTCTGCATGAGGAGAGAGAGACATTGGTCTGTCACGATATCCACGACAATTAAGGAGAGAAGGCAATAGAGACAATGTCTAAGATGGAACCAAACAAATAAATCCTAGCTACTTCCAGCTACTATATTGCGAATGGGTGAAATTGTTGTTCTGACACGATATCAACAACTTAAAGAGAGAGGAAAATAGAGGCAACAACTAAGATCAAACCAAGAGCCGATCGCCGTCTCTCACCGCCACCGTCTCCTCTTCTTAGCGCACTCCCAAGGTCCCGATCTCTTCTCCCTCCCGCCTCTCTGTTGACTTGAGTATGGCTTCTGAATTAGGGTTTTGGTTTTGTTCTGTTAGGGTTTTTTGTTGCGAGGACGGATGATGTTGTTGGAGCAGCGAAGGAGATTAAAGAGAAGGGGAAAGGACCGAGCGTTGAGGATGTGGCCCTTTTGGATGTGAAGGCTGGTGGTATTTCGATTCTGGCGGTTTCAGGTGATGAGTCCACGCTCGCTGCTGCCGTTGGTGGAAAGATTTTATTCTTTTCTGTGCCTTCTCTTCTTAACAAGGTAGGGATATTTTTGGGGTTTTGATCTCTAATTTTGTTTCTGTGAGCTCAATTCAACATATAATTAGGACACTCCTTCCAAATGATAGCTTTTTCTTATTAGACATCAAATGGCAACCTTGATGAATATGCACGCCTTTTATGCTTTTCGTTTTCCCCTGTAAGTATTCAGCCAAATATGTGGACGCAATATAATACCAGGGATGATTCGGTAACTTTGTTCACGTGGATGGTTTATGTTGCATCTATGAGAGTAAAGCAAATGGGGAGAAAATAATCTTAGGACCAAATTACGAAATGTATCATTTTATTTGTTAAAGATAGTTAAATTTTATTCATGGCTGCACCAACAGTGTAGAATCAAGCTTATGGGCTAGTTAAGGAAACTTTACAACAGTAGTTGAAGGAAAGAAAAAAAAAATGATAATTGTCCTAAAAATCAATTTTGCATATGCCTACGTGGCTAAACATAGAACTGCTTTAAGTACTAAGTCAACTGTTAGGAATATACAAGGCACAAAAGATATCTAGATGTGCCTTTTTAAAAATTTAATGATCCAGAATGAGGATAGAGTCTCAGGGGGGATTGTGATGGCTTAAAAGAAAAAAAAAGGTGTCCTGTAGATGTTATATGTTATATGTGGAGTTTTAACTAGCTTGGTACCAATTTGAATCAACGTAGAACAATTCTTATCACCATGGGTATTAACATCAAGTAATCTCTTTGCATTAGTAAGATTTGTTGATAAAGTTCTTTCATATATTTTTCATAGTCTCATTTAGTTGAATAGGTAGACAAAGGATGATCTTCAAGGTAGAATACTGGAAAAGTTTTATCGTCTAAAAGATTTATAGTCAAGAAAGATAATCATATATTGAGGAATTTAACCTTCATTAACTTATGAAAAAAGTAACTGTACAATTCATGTTGATAGCTGTGTAAATATCTAGAAGCAACCATCTTTTTCCCCCTTCCCTAATGGTTTGATTGACGGAGTTTCTTCTTTACACCAGAGAAGGATAGTTGATACTTGATGACAATTTTCTGAAGCCTTGACTAATTGTGGAACTACCCCTGAATTAAAGGGATGATGTTATGAGATTGCCATCTGACTAACTATTCTTTACATGTTATTTAATAATTGAGAAATAACATGTCAATAAAATGGTTAAAGTTGACTAAGCATGTCGTAATGGGTGTACAATGTGTAATATGCTAAAGGTAAAGTCAAAATTAATGCATGCATAAGAAGCCATAAGCAGTTTAACAGATGACAAAGTGCTCGCTGTTAGTTGAGTTATATTGTCAACATGTAACGAATGAGCTATTTAGGAGGAGTAACACTATAGTTAATGGATCATGGAGCAACAAAGGGATATGTAGACATCTTTGACCATTTGATGTGGAGGGGGAAGCATTCATTTCTTTCTTTAGGGGGTTGAAGCAATTTCCCTTACGTTTTTTGATTTAAACTGTTTTCTTTTAAAAACCAAAAAAGGGGCAAAGATGTTGGCTTGAGCCCTCTTTGTGTTAGCTATTTTTAGCTACTTCTGACACGATATCATTGGCTATTAAAGAGAGAAGGCGATGGAAGCAATGAATGAAATCGTACTAAGCAAACAAACCCTAGATTCATGTAGTCACTCTTGTTGCGAACCAATGTCATGTTCTTCTGGCATGATATTAATGACTAATAAATAGAGAAGGCAATGGCTGAGATCAACCCTTCACTCTGCATGAGGAGAGAGAGACATTGGTCTGTCACGATATCCACGACAATTAAGGAGAGAAGGCAATAGAGACAATGTCTAAGATGGAACCAAACAAATAAATCCTAGCTACTTCCAGCTACTATATTGCGAATGGGTGAAATTGTTGTTCTGACACGATATCAACAACTTAAAGAGAGAGGAAAATAGAGGCAACAACTAAGATCAAACCAAGCAACAAATGTCTTACTTTACTACTAAGAAATAAAAGCACTGTTTTCTCCTCTGAGTTCCCTTTTCAGTTCTCTTCTCTTCTCGGTTCTTTTCCTTTTATCTTCTCAATTCTCTCTCTCTCTCTCTCTCTCTCTCTCTCTCTTCTCTCTCTCCTCCACCATGAACCAAAAAATAGTCATCCAATTTCCTAGATGTGATGTCCTTTAGTTTTGGAATGGCATTTCCAATTGTATGTCTTTTCGTCCTCTATTTCGTGCTCCCATCCGAACTTGATGTTCTCACTCTTTTGATCATCATCTTTCGGTAGTCCATTGAAGTAAACTAACAATAGGCTTTGTTAATCTCTAACGAACCCTGTTATATAGTAAAGCTCGCTAGCTGCAAAGAGGAGGATTTCACTTTATTAGTTTTAGGATACTTTTGAAATATTATGTCTCACTTTGGACTTAATTGGAATTTATTGTTGATGCAGTCAATGTGTCATATGTGTTAATTTCCTTTATTAGTCAATGCTTTTAATATGTATGTTTTTGGTTTACAGTTGACTTGATAGTCTTTTGTTTGTGCATTTTGATATATCACGTTATGTCATTTGTGTATTGTGTTAGATATTTTTGTGTTTTCATTTTGATCTTTATGTTCACTCTTGTAATTTTGTCATAATAGATTTCTTTTCTGAAGGAAACTTGAACAAAAGCTATATCAAAAGCTAAAATGAGGGTGAACCTAATTATTTGGAATCCTGAACAAAGCTAATAGCAATTTGAACTTATTTCAGAATTTTATCATAGATTATAAATGTTAATTTACGAAGGACCTTTACGCAAAGTAATATTAACTACAGTATATCTTATTTGGACCTATCTCAGTGAATGTTTTGCAATATCAGGTCGTAGAGCATTGAATTAAAATTAGGGGTGCATTTGGTCTGGATACAGTTCGGATACGACACTTACCATATCCATATCCGCTTTCTAAAACCGGATACAGATATGGATACTCATCGGTAAGAAAAAGTCATGACCGTATCCGCACTAAACGGAAACAGATATGGTTCAGATATTAGATATTGAATACGGATACAATCACGGACTAGGTTGCATAGGTACGAGTACGGGTATGGACACGAGTACGGGTACGGGACACAACAAATTTGTAAAAGTGAGGATACGGGGACACGACATATATATATGTGTGTGTGTGTGTGCGCGCGTGTTAAAATTAATAATTTAAAAACCAACAATTATCTTAATGATCTCAAGTTTCTCCTTTTTATTTGATTCAAGTCCATTCTCAAATTTTCAAAAAAGCAAAGGCTTTGTAACTTTGCCTTTCTATCTTCAAAAAAGGAAATACAAAAAAGAGATGCTAAGCTGAAACTATTTCAAAAATAAAATAAAAGGAAGCTCTACTCAAACTTCTTCCCATATAAAAGTTAAGGACCTATGTGACTTATGTGCTCAGTCTGTAGCCATCCTTGCCAGGAAAAGACAAATACCATCCATTCTCATGGTTAAACAATGCCATGTGAGAGGTGAGGTCATCCTCCACTAAGTGGATAAAACATTAAGAAAAATCTATATAGAGAGAGAGCGGAAAGATAAATTGTTATCATCTTGTCTATGTCCTCAAGTCTCAAAACCCATGGGTCTCAATAACAAGATTCAAAAAAAAAATGTCTCAAAACCTATAGAAAAAGGTCCCTCGCCAGCTTAAGAATAAGTCACGAAACTGTCTGTGTCCGTACCGTTTGGGTACGGACCCGTACCCAATACAGATTGGACACGGGTACGACACCTTAGGTGTCGTGCCGGGGTATCCCAGATCACGGATATCAATCAGATATTTACAATATGCATCAAAATTATGAACAAACCCATATTTACAATATGCACTATTTAAAGATCATTTTCGAACATGCAATCAACACTTTTCCTTCTCTCTGACTTGATAAGGGTAGAAATGTCTTACTCTAAAATTAAAGATAGTTGAAACAATTCATGAGCACACATTTAAAATTACACAATTAGAATGAGAGAAAAATACTTAAATGACCCTTATTAGGGCTGTCATATAATACTGAATCTGCAATACTTAAAGATAGCTATGACATAGTTATTTTGGCGAAGGTCAACATAAAGATATTCAGTATCACAAAAATTGCTACTAAAAATATATTTAATATTACTTTTTTTGAATCTACATTACTTAAAGATAGCCATCACATAGCTATTTAGGCAAATATCAATTTAAATCTACATTACTTAAAGATAGCCATCACATAGCTATTTAGGCAAATATCAACATAGACATATTTAGTATCTCAAAATCTTCCCCTATCCTCCAATCTCCCAAACATATTAATAAACACTTAACATGGGTTTTCAGGTGATTGAAGAAAGTTGTATGATAACTGTTGAATGCTGATGTAGCAAGTGAGAGGCCTTAACTCAATTGAATGTTGGAAAAAGAATTCATCTGACAAACCCTTAATATTTATGTCACGGCTCCAATTTCTGAACCTCTAAGAAACATTGGAGCTGGATTAAAACTTTAAATATTTTTCTCATTTTTAGAATATACATTTATCAAATAACCACAAAAAATTCTATTTAAAGGAGAAGTTCTCATTATTACAATTCTTTCAAAATTCAATCAATCTTAAAAGTTTATTTAACCTGCACCTAAAATCCATAATTTGCCACCAAAGACCAATCAAACTCCCTCAATTTTTCCTAAGAATTATGTGTCTCTCTTAACTCCACCTAATTCCTAATCTCTGAAAAAGGTGAATTAAATATGAGTCCATAACTCAATAATTGAATATATTTATACATTAAACACTAGTTTGATGAAAACTCTAATATTTTGACTTAAGTAAAATATTAGAAAACTGGAAAATCATGAATGAGCTCTCGTACTTGATACAATATGTTTAAAATATACTTTCATATAATGAAAAATAAGCAAACCACGTCTTAATGCAGTCAACACTTAATACCTTGGTTGACACAATATCCTCAATTTCATTCAATGTTTTGAAAAGCTCACGTCTAGGGGTATTGGGAGCGACTAGAGGATCAGAGACCTCGTAAATGGATTGCAGCGCTTAGGTCTTGGTCGTGATTTCCTCATTTACTGCCTCCACATCCTCTAACCTCATCCGAACTCCTCCGATCACCTCCACCGAGTATAAATACCTCTTCCAACTCCGACCTCCACCGAAACCTCCTCCGTCCTCCACCAAAACCTCCTCTATCATCACTTAAGAGAAAATGAAATCATCCTAGACCTAGCACCTAGGCTCTAGGCATCAGCTTCGATGTCTAGGCCACCTAGTGCTTTTTGTAACCTTGCTTTTATTAATCCCATGGTATTAGGAAATTGAGACCTAAAATTTTGGGCTTAGTGCTAAAATATACCTCATACTAGTATATTGACTTGAGATGCATGTGTTTCAATAATTGAACAAAGTTGATATAACCAAATACTTTATAAAAATATGCCAAAGGTCAGCCAATAGTGAAAATCAAACCATAAATGCATCTCAACCTCCTACTATATGAAGAAAACATCCTACTATATGAAGAAGACATGATTGTTGACAAAGAAGTTAAGCATGGCCTTGTACCAAAATATTCTTGTGCATCACAAACTTCGATCGGATCAACAATTGATATGTGAGTAAATCATAGAAAAAGATAATCCATTATGGAATAATTCACATATATGTAAGATAACCTTATTAATGATTGTTATTTTATTTATTCTCTAGAGATTCCGATAGAGTCGTGAGTGGAATTTATATTTGTTGAATTTTGGAAGAGTTACAATAATGAGTATTTCTCCTTTAAATGGTATTTTTGGTGGTTATTTGATAAATGTGTATTCTAAAAATGAGAAAAATATTGGATGTTTTAGTATGGCTCCAATTTTCCTTTGAAGTTCAGAAATTGGGGTCGTGACAACTTAGGATAAAAGAGTGTATTGTTGTTTTGGTTGTTGTGATAGTATAATATCTTTTTTCAAGCAATACCTGATGTAACTTGAAGCAGGCTGATCTTAATAAATAAATAAAAATTCAGTACCTTAATTGATTATGCTAGTTCATTGTTGTTTATTTTTTTTCTTGGAACATACCAACTATTTTCCACATTGTTTATCTTATTTCTTTGTTATTTTTACTTCTTTGTTCCTTTTGTGTTTTTGTCTTTATTTGCAACACCTTTCTCATCCTGGCCCTATAATCTGGGGACATCCAAGACAAGTGATGAAACAACATATATAATTTAGTAACTGTCTGCTGATTGAGTGATTGATTGTTCAAACCATTATAGACTCCATAATTTGCTGAGGTTTCTGATGTCCTATACAAGTACTCTTCTTTGACAAAATTGTTTTGGAAATGCAGGCTATATGAAATATTATATTTAGTTTTATTGCACTTTCTGTCATTGGCATGTTACAGAAAAAGTAAAATATGTTATCCACCTAGCTGGTTCAGTTCATTTCATGACACATTTGTAAAATAATTGATTTAAACTACTGGACCGAGGTTAAGGCTCATGATAGCAAATCATGGTTGTTTATTGAAATCTGTATCTGGTGCAAGTTCATTTTCTTAGATTAAATGATTTTACAGCTAAAGAAAAATTAACTTACTAGTCGAACTCTTTGTGCATATGGCTTACAGGTATTAAAGGTGTATATTTCTTGCTTTAATCTTTTCTTCTAAGTGTCACTTATATTCGCTACCTTTATAAATTATTCACCAAGGTAAATATTGAAATTCTGAAAGGATTACAATGTCTCATGTTAAATTGTAATATACTACTGCAACAATATTTTTTACGCCATTAGGTTGTAGTTTGTTATGTTAGTTTGTTGTTAGACATATAATAATTGGCTTGTTACAATTCATATGTATCACATATTGATCAGAGGCTTTTTCTTTATTCCACTTGTTTTGGTAGGAGCAACAACCATTGTTCTCATGTTCCCTTGATGAGCTGGACACTATCAAAGACTTCAAGTGGCAGAAGAACATGGAGAAATCTTTTGTGGTTCTTTCAACTCATGGCACGTTATACCATGGGGACTTTAAGGCCGAGCTCAAGAATGTTATGGAAAACGTTGATGCTGGTTTGTTTCAGCCCTTTCTTTATTGTTCTCTATATATCACATCAACTTTATGGGCCTTATCTGATGAACTAAATTGCAATCGAATGCCAATCATTATATCTCGGTTATGGTAGTTTATTCTTTATTGTCTTCTTTCTATGTTTCTTAGGAGGGCATAAAGATTTGTTATGCCCATGAATTTCCTATGGAACTTTGATGAATGTATATAATGATTAGTGTTGAAATGGTAAAATCAAAATTCACTTAGGGTTTCACTCATGGGTCCAAATATATAGGAGTACAAATGGGTAATAGGTTATTGGGTCTTAACCCGATAACCCAATACTTAATTTTAACACTCCCCCTCAAGCTGGAGCATATATATCAATCATGCCCAGCTTGTTACACAGAATGGAAAATACCTTAGGTGAAGTAGCTTTAGTGAGAATGTCAGCTAACTGTTCTGAAGACGGAATGAACTGAAGAGAGATCACTTTCTTTTCCCAAGCATCTCTGACAAAATTACAATCAACTTCAATGTGCTTAGTTCTCTCATGAAACACTGAATTCTTTGCAATATAGATAGGAGATTGATTATCACAATGCATATGCATAGATTCAGGCTGAGTAAAACCAAGCTCGGTCAACAGCTTTTGTAACCATATCATTTCACAAACAGTGCGAGCCATAACTCTGTATTTTGCCTCTGCATTAGATCGAGATACTACATCTTGTTTCTTGCTCCTCCAAGTAATCAGATTTCCTCCAATAAAGATGTAAAATCCAGAAGTAGACTTTCTATCTTCAATATCTCCCGCATACCTAGCATCAGAATAGACAGAAATGTGTAAATGTCCATGTTTCTTATATAGTAATCCTTTTTCCGGACAGCTTTTAACATAGGTTAAAATTCTCAGGGTAGCAGTCCAGTGAACCTCTCTAGGCTTATGCATAAACCTGCTTAGTACTCCCACTGCAAAGGTAATATCAGGTCTGGTCACAGTAAGATAGATCAATTTTCCAATCAATCTCCTATATCGGCCTGCATCATCTAAGAGAGGACTATTATCACGTCACAAATCCACATTCACCTCTATGGGAGTGTTTGCTGGCTTACACCCCAAAAGGCCCATCTCTTCTAATAAGTCCAATACATATTTTCTTTGAGACAGAAGCAAACGGTCATTTTGATATGCAATCTCAATCCCAAGAAAGTATTTGGGTTTTCTCATATCTTTGGTCACAAAGTGACGTGAAAGATACTCCTTAGTCTCTGCTAAGACAGTAAGGTCACTCCCAGTTAGCAAGATATCATCAACATATACTGCCAAAATTATCAGACCAGATGTAGTGCGCCGGATAAAGACGGAGTGATCAGACTGACATCGTTTGAAACCGACACCAGATCAGACCAGATGTAGTGCGCCGGATAAAGACGGAGTGATCAGACTGACATCGTTTGAAACCGACACCAGATATAGCAGTACTAAATTTCTCAAACCATGCCCGTGGACTCTGTTTGAGACTATAAATCACTTTTTTAAGCTTGCAGATAATATTCTCCCCCTGAGCAACATACCCTGGAGGTTGCTCCATATAGACTTCCTCCTGTAAGTCACCACACAGAAAGGTATTTTTAACATCCAACTGAAACATTGTCCAGTCCAGATTAACAGCCATAGAGAAAAGCAAGCGAATTGAATTGAGACAGGCTACGGGAGAGAATGTCTTAAGATAGTCGACTCCATAGGTTTGAGTATAACCCTTAGCAACAAGACGAGCTTTATATCAATCAATCGTGCCATCTGTGCGATACTTCAAGGTATAAACCCACCGACAGCCAACCACAGTAGCACCCGTCGGAAAAGATATAAGATCCCAAGTTCTTTTAGAAACAAGTGCATCCATCTCCTCATTCATGGCCTGTTTCCAAGCAGGAACTAACACGGCCTCCTCATAGGACCTGAGTAGAGATATAGAGGATAAGGATAAAGCAAACTGACGAGAAGAGGGAGTAAGACGGTCATAAGAAACAAAATCAGATACAGGATGATTAGTACAAGGCCGTTTACCTTTCCGATGAGCAATTGGAATGTCCAGATCAGAGGAAATAGAAATATTAGAAGGAGACAGACCTACAAAGGGAGATGACTATTCGACTGGGGCAGTGAGAGGGACAGGAACTTTTGGACGACGACAATACGTCAGTGGTGGTGGTGCAGATGGCACAGTGGAGGTATTTCGTAGTCCTGGAGAAGATCCATTAGCAGAAGAAACGAAAGCAGGTAATGGAACTGTAGTAGGAGCAATAGACGGAATAGGCACAGATAGATTGCTAGGTGGAGATGAACCAGTCGAGGAGAAGTATGGAACAGATTCAAAAAAGGTTACATTTGCAGACACAAAATATCTTCTGGTAGATGGGTTATAACACCGATAACCTTTTTGAGTACGTGAGTAGCCTACAAAGACACACTTAATAGACCGTGGAGACATTTTATCCAGTCCTGGAGACAAATCCTGAATAAAACAAGTACAGCCAAAAACACGAGGAACCACAAGAAAAGGTTTTTTGTCAGGATAAAGGCAGGTGAATGGTATTGTACCATTAAGAACAGGAGATGGCATTCTATTGATCAAAAAACATGCACCGAGAACAGCATCAGACCACAAATACTTTGGAACATGCATATGTATCATCAGGGTTCTAGCAACATCTAAAATGTGTCTATGCTTCCTCTCAGCAACTCCATTTTGTTGTGAAGTGTGAGAACATGAAGTTTGATGGATAAACCAATATTTGCACAAAAACGAGAGAGGTCATTTTTCATGAATTCCAACGCATTATCGGTACGAAGGGTACGAATAGAGGTGGAAAATTGGTTTTTGATTTCTTTGTAAAATATTTCAAAAACAGTCGAAACCTCAGATCTCTCTTTTAATAGATAAAGCCAAGTCATGCGAGAGAAGTCATCAATAAAGACAATGAAGTATCTGTAACCTTTCACTGAAGGTATACGATAAGGACCCCAAACATCAGAATGGACTAACTCAAACGCAGAACTACTGCGTTTATCAATACGACTCGGATAGGTAGCACGATGGTGCTTACCCAGTTCACAAGACTCACAACTTAAAGAAGAAACAGTAGATGAGATAGAAATGACAGATCTAAGCTTTGATAATGAGGGATGACCAAGGCGTTGATGCCATAGTAAATGATGATCAGATGTTTCTGCAACAAGACTAATAGCGGGCATATTATCATTCAAATAGTACATGCCTCCCCTCTCATGCCCTGAACCAATCGTCATCCCAGTTGTTAGGTCCTGAAAAACACAATAAGAAGGAAAGAATGTTACTTTACAGTTGTTGTGTTTGGTGAACTGACTTATGGACAGTAAACTGACAGGAAATTTTGGAAGATATAAGACGTCAGTAAGGGTTAGTGATGAAGTAGCATGAATTACTCCATCATCAAGAACTGAAGAGTATGCACCATCAACAATGCGGATCGATAGAAATTTGTCAGAAAGTTTTAAAGAAACAAAATGATCCTTTATACCTGTCATATGAGAAGAGGCACCATAATCTAATACCCATGGCCTGTGAGGAGAGGCAATGTAGGCATCCATACCCGAAGAGGATGCATGAGTAGCAGAATGACTATTCTGAGATGACTCGAGTTGACGCAATCGGTCATACTCAACTTGCGAAATCTGAACAGTGAAGGGAGTAGAAGTAGTTGTCGGAGAATCAACAGAGGTAAGTGTAATATTAGCAATCTGAGCCCATGCAGGGTGACCAAACTTCTCCCAACACTTCTCAGAGATATGATTAGTTCTTCCACAATGTCTGCACGGACGTAGTCTTATCTGAATCAACCTGTCTCCCAAAGGTGCTACGTCCTCTCCCTGTGTCGCGGCCACGTCCTCGACCACGACCACGACTTCTACCCCGTCCGGAGAACATAGCAGACTGATCAAGAGATGGGGCGGTCAGTGTGAGAGATACAATAGTCACTCCAGTAATTACCTGTATAACTCTGGAGAATGTAGCAGTCAAGGAAGGGATAGTATCTTCCTCGAGTATTTGGCCCCGTATCTGAGATTGCAAGGTGGGACTCAGACCAGACAAGAACTTGGACACAACAATGTCTCTACGATATCCCAACAGTGTCGGTGCATCCGTAACAGCGGGCTGATGCATTTCTAATCCATCGATCAGACTTTTCAGCTCACCAAAGTACTCAGGTACTGAGCGATCGCCCTGTTGAAGAGAAAAAAGACGTTCATATAGCTCGAACACACGGGATGCATTTTTCTCATTCCCGTACATAATTTTAAAAAATTTTCACATCTCCTTAGCAGTGTTTGAGAACATGACATTGCTACTGATCTGAGCTTCCATGTTACTAAGAAGCCAAGTCATCACACAACAGTCAGCAGAAATCCATGCGGGATACGTAGGATCTGTAGAAGCAGGCGGAGGGGCCAGAAGATGAGCCAATTTATTATGAGCTCCAATGAAGATGCAAAATGCCTGTGCCCAGAGGAGATAATTTGTGCCATTTAATTTCACAGTGGTCCCCAACACAACTTTAGGGACAGAGATATCAGCAGTAGTAGGGGTAGTAATTGCAGTAGAAGAGATGTCAGATTCTGTCATTGTTACAGAACATGATAGTAAAGTAGCAGGGAGATCACAATCTCCTTGTATAAAACCCGAAGGTTTAAAGCAAAAACCCGAAGGTTAGAAGAGAACCCGAAGGGTTAGAACCCAAAGGTTAGAATAAAAACCCGAAGGTTAGAGTGCAAGAACCCGAAGGTTAACATGGAATCCGATTTTTTTTCTCTTTTTTTTGTTTTTGTTTTTGTTTTGGTTTTTGTTTTTGTTTTTTGTTTTTTGTTTTTTTTTTGTAAATTTCTGTAGACTCTTTCGTTAAGAAAGAGAACAAATCAGACAAGCATACAGAACTCATCTACACTCCGAATTCAGCTACCAGGCCTAACAACAGAAGGCCCAAACTCAAACAAAGATACAAAATAACAGCAGTCTCAAAACACAACACAATAAAACAAAAGGGCCCCGTAGCCCAACCCAGTGAAAAGACCAAGCCCAAAACTCTTCCCTCGTTCAGCTCAAGTGAAGAGGAGATCGGGGCGACAAGGGCGATCTCCAAGAGCGACAAGGGGGAGGGGCATCGGCGATCTCTCTTCGTCTCTTCGCTCTCTCTCTACTCCCTCTACCTTGCTGCTGTGGCGACGGTGAAGCAGCGACGCAGTGACGGCGGCGAAGCAGCGATGCAGTGGCGGCTTGGCGGCTAGGGTTGGGGTTTCCTCCACCGTCGTCTCTGAGTTCAGAACCAGATAGAAGAAGCTCGCGAAGAAGAGGATGATGACGAGCAGTCCGATCCTCACTGGATCCGGCAGGAATTAGGGTTAGTTTTTTTTTTTTGCAGCTAGGGTTGGGGAATCAGGGTTAGGGCCGGCTCTGATACCATGTTGAAATGGTAAAATCAGAATTCACTTAGGGTTTCACTCATGGGTCCAAATATATAGGAGCACAAATGGGTAATAGCTTAACCCGATAACCCAATACTTAATTCTAACAATTAGTTTGATGCTTTAACTTGGTTGATGGTCAACTGCATGTACTAAGTAGATATAGATCCAGACTAGGTTTTCTTTTTCCATTCATGATCTTTTGCATCTGTTGGTCCAGACTAGGTTTTCTTTCTCCATTCATGATCTTTTGCATCTATTGCTTTGCATTTCAATTTTCCTCTATGAAATTTGTTTCTCCTTAGCTTGGTTTTATTCCTCCTTTACTAGGCTTGCTTTATTGTGTTCATGCATAGTGTAGTGATTCTTTGTAGCATACGGTGAAGAGTGGTGTTCCAAGCTTTTCTCAACCAGGAGAAATTTTCTGTTTATCGTTCAAACTTAGGCTCAAGCTTCAGGTGGAAGTATGCTAAGCTCTTCCTCTTCTGCTCTTGTTCATTTTCACTTGTAGACGTTTTGGAGTTTATCTAACTTCGGCTGTGACTAGACATTCTATAAATTTTCGACTTGGCCGTTGACGACTCTGCCTTCCATTTCTCTCTCTCTCTCTCTCTCTCTCTCTCTCTCTCTCTCTCTCTTCTGTGAAAACATTAGGCGGCCTAGGCGCCAGACCTCGGGTCTAGATGGTTTTCCTTTTTTTAGTTACTATAATTGATAATAAATACCAATGTTATAATAAATGCCAATGTTATAGAAAGCAATGGGCAGCGTTAGGCATCGGACTCGCGCCTAGGTGGATTTTGTTTTTTGTTTTGTTTTATTTAAGTGGTGGTGAAGGAGGTTTACTGAAAGTCAGAGGTGTTCATTGTTAATGGAGGAGGGTTGAGAACGTGGAGACTGTAGCGGTGAGGATCACAGCCAAGACCTAAGTGGTGCATTCTCTGTAAGCATCCCACAGTCCCCTAGGCGCTTCAAAGACCTAGGTGGACGACGTAGGTACCACCTAGGCCGGACATCTAGCCTGGCGTCTGCTTTTTAAAACATTGCTCTCTCTCTCTCTCTCGGATTACTACAGAAAATTTTCCTTAGTTTTCAGTTCTTATCTCGTGTGTATACTGGACTTTATATGGCTTAGAATGTTATATATTACACTTCGCAGAGGCAGGTGCTGGCTCCTTAGCTGCCTATGTGGCATCTCCAATCCATTTTCTTAATAGAATCAAAATTCTTAAAAATTGAAAGATTCAAAACCAATAAAAGCTAAGCATAATGAGAATGAAACCGTATATAGCAACCCATTAAAGTGAATCTCCCATTCTAATTAGATAAATGGATCTCCAACTCTACATTGACATACTGGCTACCAAATAACAACCAAATATGTTGCATATAGTATTACAGTCTTACAGACTACCGACCATCAATTCAAAATAGTGATGTCTAATAAGAAAACATAAATTCACATCTTACAAGCTAAAGTATGAAACTATGGAAGAAAAACTAAAGAATTCAATGGCAAATAATTAAAAATAAGCATGACAGGAATCATTAACATGTTCGAAGAAAGTCCATCCCTTTTGCTATATGTTGATGGCAGCCCATCTGTAGTCTTTAGTTTTTTTTGTATCATAAATGTCATCGAATTCCGGAGAATCCAGACACTCGCAAATCACTAGATGCATCATATATGATTGGGCAATTGTCAATTTTCCATCTTTCACTCTGCATATTATGAATTCCTTATTTTCACAAATCAGAGGATGCATCTCAGATTTTGAACTGGTCTCATAAATGAATCAGTACAGGGAGGGAAATTACTCTTGTAATTCCTAAAATAGCCAATAAAAGTATAAACCACCAAACTATAGTTGGAAAAAGCTCCATGTGTAGAAGCATAGCATATTAGAAATAACAAGATATCGCACCAGTAACAATAGCAACAACTGCATTGGAGAGAAGTTGAGAGGGGAAAAGAGAAGGGGTGATGGGTAAAATGAGAGCACTTTGGGAAAAGAGGTATTACAGGAAACCCAATAATTAAAGATTAACTTTCTTTTTTTAATTTGCGGTTTGCTATTGGATGTGAAACATTGATCTTCCCTTGTTAGTTGTTAGTCTGCCTCCAGAAGGTGTCACATTGTGGGCCTGGTTAAGAGAGAGTTTGTGAGGGATAGCAATGCTCAGATGTGAGGGAGGGTGTGAGAGATAAGGGCTTATGGCAAATTGATTTAAGTAGGGGGAAGGGATTAGAATTTATCGTCACTGCTACCTTGCAGAAGCTTATGACGTCTCAGTGGTGTTAATGCTATCGTAGGGCAGGATATGGGAGTTGATGTAAGAGAAAAAGGGTTTAGGTTACAAAGGATGTGACTTGTGAAGGAGGCGGGGAGGGCAATGGGATCTCCTCTTTAATTAAATGGATTTGATGGGTTTCTTAAATCTTTCCAACATTTCCCTCCTGCGTCTTGGTTGCCTAGGCATGTGCCTGGACCTTTGTATGGCTTATTAACCGTCTTGGGTGGTTTGTGGAGTGAACATAGGTTGTGATCAAGTGATATGTCTCGATGTTATTCTAGCAAGCCTTCCCCTAGGAGACCACCTGAACCACTTTTTGTGGTGTTAGTTTTTGTATTGTACAAAATTTACTTTATCCATTTTCAGTCCTTCATCTCTCTCCACCTTTTTCTGGACCACCCCAGCGCTAGATGAATATGAGTTATGTGAACCTTGTTATTGCCTTTTTTCTACTTCTCTCTTGTCGTTCCTCTTCTTAAACTGACAAATTATACCTGTCTAACTGAGCAGTCTGGCAGCTTAAAGAAGTCCCGTAGGCTGTCATCAAGCAATATGGCTTGACTTCTAGTAGGCTGCTTTTCCGAGGCAGACAGCTGCTCTCCAATAATATTGTTCTTATGGTTTGCTAAACTCTTGCTTTTTTTCTTTACACACACTTTTCATCTACCACCTTAGCTTTTGGTCAACGCAGAGTCCTGGCGAACCTCTTATGATCCAAATGCTACCTCTTCTGTCGTTTATTTTTCAAAATATTTGCTGAAGATAATTATCAGATATGAATCTAATAGTTCCCGGTACCTAATGCAAGAGATCTAAATACTCACGCACGTGTGCACGCGTATGGATATAGACGCAAATGCTGCACTATCCTTTTTATTTCTTTTTAATGTTTCATGGCTTTGTTTTTTCTGTAAAAAACTGATTTATGAAGCTTATCGTGTACTTCGTTTGCATTGCACTAACCTACCCGATCTTCAATAATTGTTATGCATTTCTGCTTGACTAAGTCCCATTTGATGCCTTACTTGTTGCATTGCATATTTGAACTGTACTCGTATATGATATAAGTTTTATTTCGACATCTGTAGTTGACTGGAGTGCAAAAGGTGGTTTTGTTGCTGTTGCTAGAAGGCATATAATGACGATCTTGTCGTTTGATTTCAAGGAAATACTTAGCTTGTCACTCTTTTTCAAGACCTGGCCTCTTAACGATTCAGATTACACTATAAAAGGTACTCTTCTGGATATCTGTCTTCTGCACTTCTTTTTCAAACTTTTTCTTTTCTTTATGAGAATTTTACAATTTTTATAATCAAGACGAAACTTAAGTGGTTCCCCGCCCCCCCGCCCCCGTTAATTGCTTTGGTTTGATCTCGATAATGAACCTATTGACGGATTTCTTGAGCTAACATATGTATATTGTATGTTTGAGATGTATTTCCTATTTTTGCTTCAGTATCAAGCAATCTGATTCACTAAACACGTATGCTATATTCACATATTATTAATTGCATTGCTACATACTGGGGTAATAAATCCTTACAATCCTAGCAGTGTCATTCTGTTCATCCCTGCAAAAATGTTTCATAGGTATAGCCTGTTGAAGCAAAGCTGAGAATATTTTAGGGTAGATACCTTTCTTCATACGGGGAATGATTATTGTAACTAGAAATCAAATCCTGAAGTTATGAGATCAATGTTTACTGTTTACATGCAGGAGCTATTGCATCTTCTGTAAATTAAGCAGTAATATATGATGGAAGCCAATGGATTTACTCCTGCTTTTATTTTCCTGGGTCTTTCTTATATCTAACCTGAAAGTGAAATCAAGAGCGGCATACTTCAGTTTTGACAACCACCATTTAATCATTTATGGACTTCACATATGTGACTGTAGATGTCAGAATGACTCCTAAATTTCACCAGGAAGGAGATAGTGTAATACTCAGTGTAAAAGAGAAGAAAGGTAATTAAATATGAAGCAAACTGATAATTGTATTATCTAGTTTATCTTTGCCAGAGGCCTAACCCGCTGTTGACAGCTGCATAATATCAGTGGCATTGGGAAATGATAAGTTAGTTGAAATTGGAGGAATTTCAGTGCTTCACTATGCCATATTCCACTAATGGTATTTACAAGGCATCTGACCAAAGATCATAATTTGCCTTGAGTGCTTAGTTGAAGCCAAAGTAATGATGGAACATATTATGTAACTGAAACTTGGAAGGATCACTTGGAAAATGATCATAGGTCAGGAGATAAATTGAAATGTGCTGTCATTAACGTTTTCTGTGTTGAAGCTTGTAGTGACAGGTTTCACAAAGTGGACTGGAAACCCAGATGGAAAGGTTCATTCTAGGGTTTTAAGTATCAATTTTGGCGTGAAATAGATGTGATGGATTTGATCAAGATTTGTATATGTGAAAAGTCAAGGTTTCATTAACCTATCTTAAACTTTGGTGAGGAACTTGAAGGGAAGCTGGCTTAGTACTTGATCCTCAAATATGGTTGTATAGCGGATAAGTGATAGTCCTTTTGTATTGCCATGTCTCTAGCTGGTCCAATGAAAAATTAGCTGTACTTCTCTCCCGGAAGGTTTATATATGTGTAGTTTTTTTTTCCCATTTGCAATTGGTTGTAGTGTTTCTCATCTGCACTTGCAGTTATCTAACATTGTGTGGATGGCTTTGAAAGAAGTATTATGCTGCAGAAGCTGACCCATTCTCTCTGTGGTTGGGTAGTGGATTCTATCAAGTGGCTGCGTGATGATAGTATCATTATTGGTTGTTTTCAAGTAAATGAAGATGGTGAAGAAGAGGGCTATCTTGTCCAAGTTGTTAAAAGCAAGGACCGTACCTTCTCTGAAGTTAGTTTCTTAATTTCGATTTTTTTTTCTTCTGTTGAGATTAAATCGATGTCAATTCTTTTCCCATTAAATTACTTGCATTGTTGGTATGACATTTTTATTTATTTTCATCTGCTGCATTTTGCACTTTCGATGAAATAGTTTATGGTTGACCGAGTCAATTCATTGAATTAGTTTCCACAAGTTGGTCATTCAATCAGACTTTGTATTCTAGTTAATGCATGAAACGTGCAGAAAATATTAAATTTCTATTACTCCACAACCCTCATCAGTACATTAAGATTTTCTTGTATCTCGATTTGATTCTAAAAAGAACAAATTAAATAGACTTGGAAAGTGTTGCAAATTTCTAAGAATACTCTGAATAATGTAGGATGTGCACATGATTGTAAGTGAGCGTTTGATCTGTCACTTTTAAGCTCTAGTTTTCGTTGATTAATATTTCTTGATTTTACATTGCCATTAAATTGATTTACGTATGTCCTTCCAAAGCTTCCAGATTTGCTTGTATTCTACAACCTTTTCAACAACAGGTCTGAAAATTTAATTCCGATTTTCTTTCTCCCTTGAAGTCTTCATTTTGGGTCTCCTCGATTCTGATGTTTTTTCTTTTTGCAAATTTATTCTTCCAGCATTGTACTTGCATTTTCCTTTTATGGTTCTTGATAGGTTTCTCTCCTAGTTGACAATCCCTCCAGGATACAAGGCTGGCCACCTGTGAACAAGGGCGAGACTTACCATTTCTCATTTTTATTGAAATGGAGTGTATATTTTCTGCCCTTGCTACTTCATCCAATAAATTTGTCTGCATCAATAATATGATTAGTTCATCCACAACCTAGTTTTTTTAATTAGACACCATGCGATGTTAATAGAACTCTTATATCTTTCCCCCAGTATTATAATCAATAAAAAGAGAAAACGAGAACATGAGTTGGTTAAATTTTTTTAAAGTTTTCAATTATGTAAACAATACTTGTTAATTTTGTCCATTTTCAAATTTACATTTGTCTATTAACTAAAACAACTGGGGTTACTGTTCACAGCTAAGTGCACACCTTACTAACAAAAAAGATCTTTTTTGTTTTTTGTTTTCCATATAAGTACAAAGTTCTATTTATTATGCTATATAGAATAAATTTTTTTACTGAGCAAATAAAGAGCATCACATGCCTTCTTGCGTTGTATGGAGAGGTTCGAAGTCCGAATAGCAACGCCTTTTTTTCCTTTTGTTATGCTGTTTCACTATAAACCCAGAGTCGCAGTCCAATTTATTTTATACCCACCAGCTCATAAAAAGGTCTTTCACCTATAAATCTACAGTTTTACTCTATTTATTTTTAAACCCATCCAATTCCAAAATCTCTTAGACCCAACATACTCCATCCAAATTTTTTCGTCATTAATTTTTGAACTCACCTACTTTCTGAAAGGATTTTTGGCTCATGCACCTAAAGTCTTACCCTTATTTACTATTAGACCCACCCACTTCTGAAATCACTCTTAAATCTAAAATACTCTATCAAATTATTTTTAAACCCATTTTTTATTGAGAAGTTTGATATATGTCGTCATTTTTCTAAGTGGTTAGGTATATAGTGTAACCAAATGTTCAAACTCATATTTTTAATTTTTCTCACAATAATGTCGTGGCATCGCTAACTGCAAATGGATCTTTTATGTATAACCTCATATTTTTACCCGTTTTATTTTTAAACTCACTTCCAAAACATTACCTATAAACCCAAAGTTTCACCATCATCATTTTTTAATCCACCTGCTTGAGAACACTTTTAGACCCAAAGTACTCAAAAAGAATTAATTCCAAACCCACTCCACTTTGTGTACAGTTTAAGTCATATTTTGCAATAATTTTGTTTAAACTGGTTAGGTATTAATTGTATTATTAAACCAAATGCTTAAACCATTATCTGTGTCTTTTTTCACAATAATATCCTAGCATAGCGCATTGTATATAGGTTTTTCCCTAAAAACGTAAAGTTTCACCCCATTTATTTTAAACAGACTTACTTCTAAAGAGCTTTTTCCTTATAACAGCAAAGGTTTACCATCATTTTATTCTTAACCTACCCACTTCCCATATCACTCTCACCTAAAGTACTCCAATGGATTATTTTTAAATCCATTTTGAATTTCAATAGTTGGATATATGCTGTAAGTTGCTAATTTTTGTTGTAACTTTGCTATATGTTTGTTTTTAGTGTTTAGATATAGAGTGTATTTTTAAACCAAATGTTTAAACTTTTATTTTTTTGGCTTTTTTCAAACTAATGCCGCAGCATCGCGTGGGTCAATTGTGCTAGGTATTTATTAAAAAAAATCTAATTTGTTTAGCTTCAGTTCAACTAGCTGGGTAGCTGATAGCCTGATAAAATTAACTAGTGTTATATTTTCTGTTATCTGGAGGTAAAGTTTGCAAGCTTTGTTGATGTTAATGTTAACAAGTCATTGATTTATTTCATCTGAATACTTTATTTTTTTCCGAGTGTTTTATTAATATGAATCAGTTTCATAAAGACAAATGTCTGAGATATTGGCAGCAGTGCAATTTTGTTTTTTAGTACTATTAGCTTTTTTACCTTTTTTTTTTGGTGAGGAGAGGGTGGACTCGACATTTTTAGGACCACATTACCCCAAGAAATGTATTGCAGGACAAGTTCACTTGTAGATGGTTCGAATCATGAGTGAGTTTTATTCAAGACTGCATGTAATTATGCCCTTATGCCCAGTCACATTGATTTAATGTGGTTCTTTACTACAGAGTACATTTTCAAGTAAGCAGAAACCTATTGGAGATAAATTTTCTATCTTTCGTTAAAGTTGTTATCTTTTAAATATATAGTAATCTTATGTAGGCCTATTTGATATAGGCTAATCTTTCGGGATTTATCTAAGAATCTTCTGGATTTGTCTAGGATTTAGTTTCTTATACATAATACAAACCATTTGTCAAAGGATTTCCTTCGTTGATAAATGGTATTGGATGGTGATTGACGATAATGTTGTAAAAAGGATTGTTTCCTCTTATTCTACAACCAGTCATTGGTGGTGATCATTGGGTCTGAAACCCTAATTTTCAGTATGAAGCCTTGTTCTGAGGTGAAGCCAATATGAATCTGTAAAGCCAATACGACTCTTCTGCACAAGCCCTAAGCCTGAGGGCCTGAGGAAGAGAGATTCAGTTAGCTAAAACCATAAGTGTGCACCAGTACCTATATTATCGGAACTTAGGAGTTTTAGCTTGACCAAACATGGCTAAAATTTGTTAGGTGTATAGATTTTGATTTTTAAGATTGGAAAAGTTTTAACGGAAATTTTTTCCTCCTTTTTATACAATATATTTTAGGTTTATATCATGACAAGATTTATCGTAATTGTTTTTTTTCCTCTGTGGTGTAGGCTTCTTGTAACCCAATTGTTTATTCCTTCCCGGATTTATTTGATGGTGTCTGGGATATATTGCCCTTTGGGCGAGGTCCTTATTTGCTTGCAAACTATTTGGATTACTGGTATGTTGAAATTGATACTGGCCTCATTATACTACTTCATCTCCTTCTATAATTGTTTAATTGCACACACGGCAAGAGAGATACACTCTGTATCTTAGATTTTTTTATCATCCTATTTCTTTTTTATATTATTTGGTTTTTCCCCTCTAAATTTATAGCTAGCTACTTTTTATTGGTACATTACCCAAAAACAAATTTCTTACCATTTTTTTAATTTGATCCTAGATCGCGACTTTTAGGTTTTCAACATTGTTTTACACGCCTGATGGTTCGTAAATGCATTCCTTGAATCCTGTCAAATGCAATCTGTAATCTTAAGCTTATACTTCATTTGATAAGTTTTCTATGAGATGACTAAAATGTAAAACTACATTCAACTTTAATAAATATCACTAAGAACTTATGTGAAGCCAAGGAACAGCAGCATATATTATACATTAATTTTGCTACAAGTTTTGAAGAACTGTAACATGACATGCTAATGCCGTATCATACGCTATGGCAGAGAACTCACCAGTGTAATTGTACGTGTTCATCCAGGTTCGATACAACTCACACATCCACCATTTTGACTTTTTTTTGCATACTCAAGGAACTTGTTAGTTTTCTAAATAGACAGTGTTCATTATATATGCTCTTTTTCGTTAAGAAATGGTGATTAATTAATTTCTTTTCCATTGTTTTATTCTTAATATTTTCTAATACAAAAACAACATATGTAAGGTAAATATTCATATTTACATATGTGGGACAATGGAATGTACGCTGGCTCCTGGGAAGTAGGAGTTAATGACTTAATGCTATGGTTTGTTACCTGGTGTTGTTTGTGGTCAATTTGTCTTTATTCAATCAGTACTGGGAGGTTGTCATAGTAAAAACAAAAAACGACAGGCTAAACCCCAAATGAGCCCTATTTATCTCATATAATGTTCAGCTGTAGATTTTCTCATGTTATCTGCTTTGTTTAATTTGATACTTAGACGGGTATCTTCTTGCAGGGATGTTGTTCTTGCTTCTAACCAAAAAGCCATTGACCAGCATATTTTGTTATTGAAGTGGTCGAAAGAAGATAACAGAAGGGAAGTGGTGTCCCTTGAATTTAGTAGTGATAAACATACTCCTAAAATTGAAGTACCAGGTGCACTTTATTTTCACTTTTATGTGCTTTCAGTTGCTTTTTGTCTGTTTGGTTACTTGGAGAATCAGCTCATTTTGTTACTTTTGCTTTTTCAAATCTTTTTGATGCTTAAAAGGATTGAACATTATAGGCTTTCAATTTTCAATGTGAATGTTGTTATATAACATGCTTTGCATGACTCACCTTTGTTCTTTAGCTAAAATTTAGTCTCATCATCTCATAGAATTGAAAATCTGGAAAGGTAGCTTTTACATTATATGCTCCAAAATGTCTTTTTCCCCCTCTTTTGTGCTGACGCCAGTATTGGTGAATGAAGTGTTCCAAGTATTACACCAATACACAAGGAGAAAGGAGAATGTATAGTCTATTAGAATAGATTCTATAAAAGCTGGCAGGCAGTGATGATGATCTCAGATGGTATAACTTGATTGGTGAACATGTGAATGCTGAAATTTGTGTGCAAGCTTTATATCATTGTATGTTTTGCAAACAGTTTATCAGTCAATGTTTCTAATATTTTTCAAAATTTGGCTTTGGTTGTCCCCTTTTATTATGGCTTATTAATTGTCCATTGTGAATGATGCTCCAAATATATGCTCTATTCTTTTCAAATGTTTGCAATATTGTGAATGGTCATAGTAAAGGTTTTCCGTCTCCAGATTTGTAACTAAATTTGACTGGCAGTGTATGTGATGTGACTAAGAATCAAGCTGAGCTTTATATATATTTGTATTATGTCAATATGGATGGAATGTTACATAATATTCTTGCTATGTGGACTGAAAATTGTTTTACAAATATTGTATATTATGTGCAGAATTTGCAATTGAATTTGACTGGCAACTAGGGGTGCATTCGGTTCGGATACGGCTCGGATATGACCATTACCATAACCATAACCACTTTCTAAAAACGGATACGGATACGGTTCGGATATTCATCGGTAAGAAAAAAGCATTACCATATCCGCATTAAACGGAAACGGATATGGTTCGGATATTAGAGAGACGGATACGGTTCGGATACGGATACTAAACGGATATTTGGGAAATAGATATGACTAGGATATGACAAAAAATATATATGATTTTAATAACTCGCAAAGTAAACAAGTAAGACAAGTTACCTCATAGACTTTGTTGTTATTTTGTATGACAAACTTCAGAACACCATAGAAGGCCCTAAACAAAAAATAAAAAATATTGAATACCATAACTAAAATGTGATAATCATATGCTTATGAAGTTAAATAACAAACCTATGGGTGCTTTTATAAATGTTTCGGCAATCTCCGAGTCGTTGTGATCCGAAAGCTTAACCACATCAAGAGCATCATCATTCCCAAGAGCCATAGAATCTGCATCGGGTATATTACATTTTGCCAGCTTCAAAACTCGAAGAGATCCAGAGTTGATCAAAGCTGGAAGAATAATAAATCGGGAGTTTTGGAGAAAGGAATCTCTACCCGAGAAATCAAGATACATCTCCAGAATAATAATGATGCAATTTACAACAAATGCTTGAACTGTGGGTTTTTTCAAATCACTCAACAAATGCTAGAAATTAGGGCACAAAAAAATTAGGGCTTAGGGTTTTGAATTATACCAAATTGAGGGTGAAGGCGAAGGGTTCTGTAACTTCTGTTACTGTAGGCTTTGAACGGCGGAGGGATGCGGAGCTCGACGTGGAGGAGGAGCGGAGCTGGTTGCTGGTTGCGGAGATCGGAGGTGGAGCTAGATGCGGAAGAGGACGCGGAGCTGGTTGCGGAGCTGGTTGCGAAGCTCGGAGGCGGAGCTCGATGCGGAGGAGGACGTGGAGCTGGTTGCGGAGCTTGGAGGCGGATCCTGACGCGGCGGAGGAGGCGGAGCCCAGCTTAGGGTTTCGACTTTCGGGAATTGGGGAGGCGGAGGATCGGGTTTAGGGCTTAGGGTTTGGGAATCGGTTGGGTCTGGGAGGTTTTTTTGAGTTTTAAACGGGTCGGGTTGTGGATTTTTAGTTTGACCCAACCCAATATCCATTATCCATTATATATATATAGCCCATTTCAAATATCCGGATATCCGGACCGTATCCGCAATTTCGACCCGATAACCGTATCCGAACCATATCCGGATAAAAAATCTAAACCGTAACCGTATCCGAAACCATATCCGACCGGTTTCAATTTTTCCTTACCATATCCGCTTTCTAAACGGATACGGTTGCGGTCGGTCCGGATAAATCCGGACCAGTTTGCACCCCTACTGGCAACGCATGTGACTAAGAATCAATCTGAGATTTTATGTATTTATGTGTTGTGTGAATATGGATGGTATAATATCCTTGCTATTTGGACTAAAAAATTGTCTTGCAATTATTTTTATGATTATGTGCAGTGTGCAGAAAAGAATTTCCTTTAGTTTGCTACCATGCAAAATGTTGTATTAACGGTCATTCCCGTCACATGAACCCCATGTATCCTTGAAATATTTTGATTGGTTATCAGCATTCTTTTTAATATCCCCGACATGGCCCGATATATCGCCTAATATATCCTTTAAAGGGCTTGTCGTAACCGATAAGGTCTCTAAATATCCTTGACTGTTTTTTGGCTATTTTGGGATATATTTCGGATATGGCTGATATATCATATATCAGCTAATATGTTGGCTGTTTTATCTTTTTATATGGCCTATTACAAAACAATATATGGCGTTTGACAAATTTTTGGGTGAGATATCATGATTTTCCCATTATACCAAATGTCATTTTGGTCTAAAAAAATCAGGCGAAATGTTGCAATGTTGATTTGTACTTTTGTTTGTTTTACAAGGTTGATTATTGATCCCAAATATATATTATTTACATTTTGTATGCTTAGATTTCTTTAAGTATGTTGAGATTAATCCGATATGAATTTTTGCCATCAAATATTTCCCCAATATCTGATATTTATAACATTGGTTATCAGTTAGTTTTATTATGAGTTCATGTTCATAATGATTTTGTACAAATGAAAAATTAGTCGCGCTCTGGATGGCTAGTGCTAGGCAAAAAGTGACAGTTATCACCAGGGACAGATATGCACATGTAAAGTTAGAGAGGGCAGTTGGATCCTTAACAATATGCAAAATTACATTCTATAGCCTTATAACTTACAATTTGCCCACCATAATTTAAAAATATTTGCATCCCATTTGAATGTTAGCCTATTTAAATTGGGGATTTAGCCCATTTGTCGAGAACATTGATGTATATTTTTGGGTGACTAGATACTTGTCGTTTGCCCCCCTAAGAACGTTTTTTTTATCTGCAATGCTTATCATACTTAAGGTGATTTCTGTAACAACCCTGTCTGATTTTGCAGTCTATCTATTTCGGTGAATGTTAGTTAAATCTGCTTAGTGAAGCCTTAGTTAAATCTGCTTAGTGAAGCCTTACTGATTCTCTTATATCCTTTTTACTTCAGAAAATGGTGACGACAATTTGGTATTGGGATTTTGTATTGAGCAATTCTCCTCAAACGAGAAAATTAACATAAAAGTTGATGATAAATTTAAAGAACTTTCTCCTCGTTGTATTCTTTTGTGCCTTACAAGTGAAGGAAAGCTCAACTTGTTCTATGCTGCAAGGTTGGTGTTTCTCTACTGATGTTCTATTTAAAACTTTTTCTTTACATCTAAGTTCTGATGTCTCTTACTAGCTAACCTCTAAATCCTATTTAGGGTTTCAGAACCGGTAGATCGGCCTCAAACATCCTTACCTCTTGATAACAATGACGTAGTCAGTTCATCTGAAAATTTAATGACCAAGCCACAATTGAAGGATGATATAGAAAATGCAACTTCTGAGAATCAGTCAACGCAGATATGTGCAGAAGCCCTCAATTCTCATAAAGGTAACATTTTAAAGAAAGTGCACTCCATGTTCAGTGATTATTACACGTGTCATTGTTTTTTGGATCCTTACTTTTCTGTAAGCTTCCTCTGTTTTCCAAACATGTTCAATGAATGTAGTAAATTCAGGACTTTCTGTTTTTTTGAAGTACTCACAAGTGCTTGCAAATGTAGATGCATTTCAACTCCAAAGAGAAATAATCCCCCCTCAAAGGAAGCAAGTGGGCGATAGTTCACCAGCAGGTCTTTTTACTGGAGAGGTCGCAAATAGCAAATCATCATTGGAAACACATGGATCTGGTTTCATCCTGAGAAATAATATGACACCTAGCATAAATGTGCTTAGCAATACTTCTACCAAAGTGGTTGGAGGTACTACATCCTCAGGTAAGATAGCAAGTGAACCACCTGCTTCCATGTATTCAAATAAAAAAGATGTTGCGTCGCAACATGGTGAAGTGAGTAAAAGACTTTTTGCTTTAACTGGCGTTTCTGAAGCTCCTTTTGGTTCGCAATCCACGGAAAATATTTTTGGTGCAAACATCAGCCCCTCAACTTTTACTTTGACTAGATCAGTTGTCAGTGATGCTGAACAAAGGACAAAACTCGGCAGTGTTTCATCTGAAACTCAATCTAGTGATCAACTTTTTAGCTCAAAGGACTCTAATAGAGCGCATCAGTCATTAGCTTTCTCTTCCGGCAAAGTAGCTCAGAATAAGGAGTGTTCAGGTTACTTGCCTAGTGGAAAAGGTGTTGAATTGGTACCTGCTGTTCAAGGGTCCCGTCTTTTGGCTCAGGAAGGTTCTATACCAGGAATGTCACAACATTCTAGGTCACAACATTTGCTTGAAAATATAAGAGCATCCAAATTCTCTCAGACGTTGGATTCTGAAAGAGATATCTCAAAGCAGTTTTATGATGTAAGATTCACTTTTCACTTCGAGTATTCATTTGAATTTTATGGATTATTTTCTCTTCATGTCACTCCCAATGCTTGCGAAAGCTTTTTGAAGCATGCTCCAAGACGCACTTCGAAGCATTTTGAACAATAGTTGCTCTGAAGCTCAAAAGAAAAGTGATTTTGAACAAATATCAACTATAAAAACCTTCACTTGGGATCTATCTAGTGGATTATTTTCTTTTAATTTTATTAGAAAGCAATCAATTTTCTTGCATTATTTCAGTCTCAGGTTGATTGAATCTTAGCAGCTGCCTTAGTGATCTTTTTTCTTTTAATTCTCACAAGGAAAATCTTTGTCATAAACTTATTGATGTTTCCTTCTTGAAAATTCCCGACTCATCTTTGTGAATTTTACTCAGGTGAAAGACATGGTCAAGGAACTCGATATCCTCTTATCATTTATTGAAGAAAAAGGCAGGTTCAGAGATGCATGTACAGTATTTCAGAGAAGTTCACTTTTGGCATTGGAGAATAATCTAGAAGATATTTCAGCAACAGCACACAAATGCAAGGTATCAGTTTCTCTCACTTTCCTATGCATGCACATGCATAAACACTTGCAATCTTATGCATTTTGCATTATTGTGTCTCTTTGGGATGCATATTTCATTGTTTGTTTTTCTCATCCCTGTAGAAGGATATAGAGGGACGGCTTACGGAGATTCAACAGCTTCAAAATAAGATGTTGCAAGGTACTCTAAGTTGTAATTTCTAACCAGTTGTTATCCTGAATAGGCTTATATCTGCAGGGGAGTGAACATACCACTGCAGTTCCTTCCTGATATGTTTATTGCATTAATGCTTTCTTTTCTTTTTAGTTCTGCTAGGTGATAGCTGTCTGAGTAAGGATATAATAGATTTTGTTAGTAGTTTGATGATGATAGGAGAAGCATATCATCCAAATACTGGATTGCATCTTCGACTCCTGTGATTGGAGGAGCATATAGTTCGAGGTGAACTGCCTCACTACAAAGAAACAAACACACCTTTAGTTTTTGGTGACGTACATTATGCTTAATTTTCGATAATTATAAGAGAAAGTAACTTCACAACATAGATAATCATCATATGTAATAAGCATGTAATAAAATAAAAGACTTGAAATGCAGAGAATACACTTTAAGTTGAGCAGTTCCGGCATCAAGAACTAAGAGAAGGGGAGAGGCGCTTGGAAGAGGAAAGTAGAATGAGGATATGAATGTTTGTATTATGTGTGTCTATATATATATATAGATGCACATGCATTGCACGTGGTTAAATATCATGATTGTTTGATTTATTTCTTTTTAAATCTTTACTTTATGATGTAATATTGTCTGTGAACCTTCATAATACTTATGTTTATGTACCTTCAAGTTTCATTTTATATGTCGTTGTGATCATAAGCAGTGTAAGCAACAAATCTTTCGAAAAGGTTAGTCACTCATATAGCAACCACTTTCTTGAATGCCTCAAATCTAAGTAATGGATGACATAAAATTCTTATGAATTAAAAAGAAAATGAAAAATAATCTTCTATGTTGATCCCTATGACTATAAAATAAGAAAACCTATCAACATTTAAGAAAAAAACCTATTAACATTTAAGAAAACTCTCTCCATAAGCTTGCAAAGCTAACTACATTCAACTATTAGGTTGGTCAATTCTTATTATTTTGAAATTAATTCATCATAGCATTGAAATAGCTCTTGCATCTCCAATTCTTAAGTTAATTTGATTTTAGCTCCTCGAATCAAAAGTAAAACAAAAGCAATTAGAGGGAAATTAGTCCCTTGAATTGCTAATTACATCATTTATTTGAAGGATTAATTTCAAAATAACTTAAGAATTGAGTTACCTAATAATAATTTAAATGCTTTAACGAACTAATTTCAAAATATGAGATATGTAAGGGACTAATGCAAAAAACATTTCAATCAATCAATTGTTGTTAATAAATTCATTAATTCCATAATTTGGTATTAATTAATTGGTTAATATTTACACATGCAATGCATATTATGTCTACCATGTTATGTCCTCTAAGCTTCTTTTACTCTTTAGTTGTCAACCACTTCTAATTTGATTAATTTTTTATTAATTAGTTGTGAATGGAGAGAGCTTTAACTCGGAAGTTTAATTTTGACTTAATAGTTTTAGTTGATTACCAATTATAATTAGGATAAGAATATTAATATTGCAAAGGATTAGGAGTAAAACTCATCTAGAAAAGTTTTTTTCAGAACTCCCACTTTATATATATATATATCACTGTTATAAATAGCGGTAAATAGCCCTGCAATAGCGGCGCTAATAGCATTAGCGGTCCCTTCCCGCGACGCTATCGCCCGCTACGCTATCGCGCAATAGTGGTGACATATTACGGAATATGTCTGTTCGCAAAAGCAGCCAATAGTTTGTCATAATGGTAAATAGTGAGTGATTGCATTTGAAATTTGCTTTTTGACTGCTATTTACAAGCGGTTTGAGGCTTATTTTTTTAAAATTAAACTCAACCCCTGATCATTACATTCCACCGTTTCCTGTGATTTTCAGCATACTTCCGTCACCCCTCATAGCCTCTGGCACCTACCTTGATACTTTCTCTCACCTCCTACACCGTGAGCTCCTCTTAGGGCAGTCCTGTCATCGCTAAGTTCTTCTTCTCGAAGACGACGATTTTTTAACTCCTCCAGTCATCTTCGGTATTACGTGATAGTTACATGTCTATTTCATGTTTAGGATCTCTTTAAATCATCCAATATGTACTTTTAGATTTCTTAGATTTTTCTTTAATTTTTTTTATTATTTATACATATCTAAATTACAAGCACAAAATTGGTGCTTGGTATTGATGTGGCCTTCTCTCATCCCCACATTACCCACTTGAAAATGGACCCCACTTGATTACCACCACCTATGGTTCAGTGCCTGACAACAATTTCAAAGTTTTGAGCACTAACTAATCTGAAACTGATAAATTATGCTCCTTTCTTATATTAACATGGGACAGTTTCCAATAAATTATGCTCCTATCTTATATTTATGTAAAAGGTACATGCTAGCAGCACATATCTATCCTCTTTGAGATGCTTGTCAATAAATTTTCAATTAAATAGATAAGTGCGATTATGAGAGCCATTGACAGCACATATCTTGGCAAAGTTCACTTGCTCGTATTAATTTTTCAAGCTACAAGCTTAAAAAACGAGCATTCCTTTTTTCTGTTGATTGTTATACATCATCAGCCACAACCCATCAGTATTAAGCATTTAGGTAAGATTTTCCCTAACCTCAGGTTGAGTGCTGTTTTCATGGGGCCAAAAACTGGATTTAAGTTAAAATGTTGATCAAATTGATCCAGTAACTCTTAAGCAACTCCTAAGGGGTTGCCTATAGATTCCATCAATTGTATGCTATGATCAAGCTTATTTATATTTGCAGTTGCTATTTCTTCAAACATCTACCTGTTACTCTATGCTTCTATCTTGCAAGTTGAAACATATTTAGCTGATAAGGAAGAGGTTTAAAATCTGGAGCCTTGAAACTTTTCATTGTGCAGTTTCAGCTCGGCAAGGCTACATGAAAGGCATAGTTGAACAAGCTTCTAATAGAAAATATTGGGACATATGGAACCAACAGAAGTTGAATCCTGAACTTGAAGCGAAACGCCAGAATATTTTAAATGCAAATCAGGTTAAGCATGTACCTTTGAAGCAGGTTGGATTTTAATAATTCAATTTATAATTCTGAACTCGGTGAATGTGCATTTTTCATGCAGAATTTGACAAATCAGATCATTGAACTGGAGAGACATTTCCACACTCTTGAGATAAATAGATTTGGTGGTAGTGGTAGAACTTCATTAGGTCATACAACTTTCCAGAGTGGTTCTCTGCCTGTAAGGTATGATACAAATGGAAATGCAGCTTCGCTATGTGATAATTTTTTTAAAGCCTAGTGTTTTCTTTACTAGACAAACTGGTGTTGTATTGTTTTTTTGATGAAAATATTTATATAGCAATTTCCTATTTTTGAGCATAGCAAATTAAATCTGCCATAGTTTATTTCTAATTATCGTGACATGTGAGGCTGACATCAGATCGCAAAGAGTATTACTAAAGTGTGACTCTCTAATATCTACTTGCAGGCAAAAACAATCTTTGCAGAGTGTCTATAACACACTAAACTCACAATTAGCAGCAGCCGAGCATCTTTCTGAATGCCTATCTCAACAGATGTCTGAGTTAAATTTAAACTCAGTTCCTGTAAAGCGGCGGAGCATAACAAAAGAGCTTTTTGAGTCGATTGGTCTTTCTGATGAAAACATGTCATTTGAATCACCAGCTTGCAAAAGATCCAGCCTTGCTCCGTATTCTACGAGGAGAACACCTCCATCCGTGACTGGTGCTATTAGTGACCATCTGAGTAAAAAGATATTAAGTGCAGCAAAGGCTTTTGAGCCAGAAACTGCGAGGAGGAGAAGGGACTCACTGGATAAAGTAATATTTTCTCCTTAAGTTCATTGTACAATTTAAGTTTTCATAGTGCATAACATATTTTGATCTCTATATGAGTTACCTGTGTTCCGTTCATAGTATTGTAAGTAGTTTCTTTTTGCTTCTATTTGTTACAGTTCAATACATTCTTAGACATATGCATTCATAGTATTGTAAGTAGTTTCTTTTTGCTTCTATTTGTTACAGTTCAATACATTCTTAGACATATGCACGCAATATAGGCAACAATCTGACTATTTGCTTCTATTTGTTACAGTTCAATACATTCTTAGACATATGCACGCAATATAGGCAACAATCTGACTAATGAGGTTAATCTTCTTAATGTTTTGAACTCTAAAACATATAGACTATTGCCCTAAGTGAATTAAACTCAAAGCCATGATTTTTTTATTAGCTAAATTACTTACAAATAGTATGAACTTGTATGCATTTTAAACAGTTATTACCATTAACCTTCCATTTTAGTTGTCATGATTTTTGATGAAAATGTCCTTGGCTTAAATATAATACTTCTAATAGCAAGTGAGATTGAATTATAAATATGACAATAATGATATAAATGTTTCTTATGAAAATATAAAAGCATTTCTGCCTAAATAACTTATTATTTGAATGATAAAAGGAATGGTCAAAAAATAAATATTACACGCATCTTTTCTTGAATTTTAGTTATTAACTACTAGTACTTAAAAAAGAATTTCTAAGAGATAATATAAGAGGTTTAATAGAATATAATTTCCCAAAATATTTTGTAGAAGCATTAGTAGCCATTTTTCTTTATTAGATGTCAATAAAATAGGCTAAATAGCATTAAATAAAGTGATTTTTTATTAGATGTCAATAAAATAGGCTAAATAGCATTAAATAAAGTGATTTTTTTCAATTTTCCAACTTTTGCTGTCACTGTCATTGTCTACTATTCACCTTCTCCTTTTCCCCTTACCTCCTCCTCAAAACCCTTAACTAATCACCTGGACAACTTAAATGCACTTCCCTCTTCCTTAATGCTCACTCTTCCCTTTATTTCTCGACCTACTTCTTCCTTCTCCTTTCCAAGCCTTAACCTAATTAGCAGTGAAACCCGGTCTAATTCGAAAGAAATTTCTTTTTCTGAAACTGAAATGAAAGTTTGGTGCAAACAGTAACATGTTCAGAGGTTTTGGTCAAGTCTAAGTACCTGAATGAGAGGGAAGCAAAATATCTGAATCTTCTGTCAAATTTTTTTTAGATGTCACACCACCAGTATAAAAGATTGAGGCTAGGCTGGCTAGCTTTGATCAAGACCAGTTAAAAAGATGATGATAAATTCAGATCAAGTTAAAAGGGATTTGATTGTTTTTATTCTAAAAAAGAAGTTGAAACAGGCACAAGTCATCAGAAGAAGTCTTTGTTCTTTAAAAACCTGAAATCGAAGATCTGAAACAACTCAGCAAGGTTGGTGTTGGTGGCTTCCTAGTGGGAAGTAAGGATGGAGAAGAATAAGAATAAGAAGAGTTATGTCTTTTTTGGGTTTGAATAATAGATTATGGTTTGGAAAAAAGTTTTAGAGGTTAACTTGATATCAAAGAAATCCCTTAATTTGTGCAACAGTGGAAAGGATTTTTTTTTTACTCAGCGAAATGGCCTTTCTTTTCTCCTTGTTAACTAGTTTATGTTTAAAATGATTGAAAAATGATTGAAGGAGTAATTTTGTAATCAAAGTGTTGTTGACACCTATACAGTAGTTACCAGTAAAATTCGAAGCTTATGATATTTATTGAGACCTGAAATTCAGCCTTTTCTGCAACATGTCAAAGGTGTGTGCATTTGTAGGTTCTATGTCCAAAAACATACCTAAACAGCCAGGAATATCAGGATATTAGCTTGTATGCCTGCATGTCCGGAAACATACTAGCACATATTGCATTTTGGATACATCTACAAAGCATCCTTAACGAAGCAAGTAAATTAAGGGGTGATCCTGGAGACTATTGTTTCACTCAATTCATTAGCTATATGTTGGAGATTTTATTGAGCTGGGTCCAACACATTCTGGTTTGGTACAAGTCATATTCACCCAAATGTGTTGCTTTTCAATAGAGTTGCGTGCTTTTCTTGCGAGATAATGTTTTCTCAGGGCTTTTCTGACAAGATAATCATGGTGTATCAGGAGTATTATTGAGTTTAAAAGTATTATATATTTTTTTTCTTAAACTAAAGCTTTAGTACTTCAAATTCATTGTTGTTATGCATGTTTTACTGGTTGACTGGTTGCTGACACAATGACCTATAGTTGATAATTTCTTGATCAACCATATCTGTGGCATTATGCCTGTCTTAACAAAACCTTGGTTGCTCATTAGACTTGGATAGCTCTATCCTCTAAACACCACATATTTATTAATCTAATTCATAAAAGTTGATTAGGGATGTAATAATTTTTTTGACAGTGGTAGAGTGTCATGAGGCCATGTAATCTTCGTTCTATATTCTTTTGTCTTATAAATTATTCAAATTAGTTTTTTTTTAATTCATATGTATGATCATATATTCATCATCAAGACTTCCACTTCATCCTACCATAAGCATCCCCACAAAAACATAAACTTAAGGCGCAAAGAATAAATGGAAAACTAAGTTGAATTATATTTACTCGTAGACTTTCATAACTATAGTTCCTTTTTTTTTTAAAGATTGAACATTTGTTCAACAGGTAGAAAAGATAATGAAGAATGATATTCATATTAATTATTCTTCCACAAGTATTCAACGTTTGAGTATTTATACCTCTATTTCCTTTAGATTCTTTAATTTAACCTTAAACTCAAGCCTCCTTATACTTGATGGTTAAGTCAATATCCAAAGCCTCTTATTTATGGTTATGTTGTGCATGTTAGGATTATCCTTGTTTTCACTAGATGCTATCATTTTCTATTTTTATAAACGAGGTACATTCCCATTTCCTACTATCTTGCCCACATTGTCGTGGGGTATTCTGACAGACATGTCCAAGTAGAGCTTTAAACTGCCCTTATCCAAGTTTATGTATAGAATAGGCTAGGTCGTTCTGCCGGATCATGTAATATGAATAAGTTGTATCCTACCAGTTCATGGTGTATTTACTGTTGTGTCATTTGATTCTGTTGTAATTTTAGATAACAGTTTCAAAAATGGTATTACCACAATTGTTAATTGGCAGTTTTATTATCTTTTTATGCAGAACTGGACTGGTTTCGAACCTCCAAAGACGACAGTTAAAAGGAGTATGCAAGTGCAGTACTCCAGATTTGGTGCAGAAAAACCTTTCAGGAAAGCTAAAGAAAATTTTGATTCTCAGATGGAAGCATTCGCTACCCAGCAAAAAAATAATGCAACCCGTTCATCCTCTTCCTCATGGTACCTTCTAAATGAAGGTAGTTTGCTGAATTCTAATTTAGTATCATCTGATTTATTGTTAAAAGTTTTATGTTAATCACTTGAATGTACTATCTAATCTAAATTAGTGGAAATATCTATCTAATTCTAAATTTGTTGAATATGGTTTCGTATTTTTCATTCTTCAGGCATTCAGGACAGCCATTCCAAAGTAGTGGTTGAACCTCAGTCTAATTCTGGGTCCAAGTGGGCACAAGACATAACAGAGAGAAATAGCACTCTATCTCAGTCAATGTCCCCATCAATAACTACTGCAGACAGTTTCGAAAGAAGTAGAAAGGATCTTTTTGGTTCACCTCCTATCTCAAGCCTAGAAGCAATGCCGGTGGGACACCTATCAAACCCTTTCACAGCCAAAACTGTTGCAAGTTCAAGAAACACATCTTTAACATTTTCTGGTCCCATTTCACCTATGAATACTGGACAAATAGGAGATGTAAGGAATCAAGCAAGCACGAATATGAACCAGACAAGTGGAGGGAATACGCCAGTCCTTCCAAATCTAGTAAGCATGAAACATGTGGCAGATTCTTCGGTTGGTATTTCTTCCATTACGAATGAGAATATCTTTTCACCTTTCTCTACTTTACCTTGTCATACATCTGCACAGTTAAATGGAAAAACTACTGAATTCAATAAGACGACCATCGGGAACCAGTCGAATGAATCTATTTTGAATTCAGCATCTTATCCTAAAGCTTCGACTTCATCTTCCTCACGTCCATTTTCTTCCTTTCAAACTCCTGCAACTGCATCATCTACACCATCCTCAACTCCTGCCTTTATGCCCCCCTTAACCTTTAAGAAAACATCGCACGCTACTAAACCTGCAGTTGTAGCCAATCAAACAGCTTCTGCATTAACCTCAACTTCCACTGATAATCAGTCTCTACTTTCTTCCAGTCTGATATCTTCTGAGTCACAGAATTCAATGGTTCAGGCAAATGCTTTACCTGCCAAACCTTTTGGAGCATCATTCTCTGATAGTAAGTTTGGAGGGCCAAACCAGGTAGCTTCAATATCAACATCAACTCCAGGTCCTTCTAGTCATTCACTTCCATCTTCCAGTACAATGTTTTCTCAGACACAGAAATCATCGTCAACAACTTTTGCATCATTGAGTACAGCAGCAACATCTCCAGGTATATCTGAACCAACTACACCAGTGACATCTGCAACTGTGAGTTCAATTCACTTGGATAACATTACGTCAAACTCTCCACCATCTAAGTCTCCATCTGAGGAAGTTGAACCTGTGCCTAAAACTCAAAACAATTTGCTTCTGACAAATAGTAGCAGCACGCCCCTTCCTGCATCTCTCTCTCAGCCTCAAATACAACCATCCACAACACCACTCACAACGACCACAGAAAAAGATCAACAGGTGGATGTTAGTTTGTCCCAAGAAGATGAGATGGAAGAGGAGGCTCCAAATACATCGACACTCAGCTTGGGATCCCTTGGTGGATTTGGACTTGGGTCATCCCCTTCTTCAAATGCACCAAAACCTAATCCATTTGGCGGTTCATTTCTTTCAGCTAACTCGACCACCCCAAGCCCTCCGCCTACTTTAGCAGCTCCTGCAGGGGAGCCATTCCGCCCTGCATCTTTCAGCCTCCCTTCTGCTCAACCGCTACAGATATCACCACCAGCAAGTTCAGGTGGATCATCGAGTGGTTTTGGTGGAGGTTTCAGTGGTTTTGGACAGCCATCACAGGTTGGAACAGGACAGCAAGCCCTTGGGTCAGTTCTTGGTAGTTTCGGGCAGTCACGACAGCTAGGTAGCGGTATGCCTGGCATTGGTTTTCCTTCATCGGGTGGCTTGAGCGGTGGTGGATTTACTACCCCTGCTGCTAATACGGGAGGATTTGCTAGTGCCGGTGGATTTTCTGGTGCTGCAACAGGAGGAGGGGGTTTTAAATCTGTTGCTTCTGCTGGTGGTGGGTTTGCAGCTGCTGCTAAAGGTGGAGGTTTTGCTTCTCTTGCTTCTGGTGGTGGCTTTGCAGGTGCAACTGGAGGTGGAGTTCTTGGTGCTGCGCTCCCAGCGCGGCTTTGGTTTGCTGTTGCCTGCTCCCAGCAGGCGCGTTTTGGTTTCAGCCAGAAGCATGCGCGTAGTGGTTGGAGCTGGCCTGTGTTTGGTTTCTGGATCAGGTCAGATTTATCTCTTTGTTTTTTGATTGTGTTGAGAATAGTAATGGAACAAGCTAAGGCCTCTTAGTTAAATTAATGAGGGACTAATTCATGACACAGTATAGGAATAGCCTTTTAATTTATTGGATTCTACATGATTTATTTGTTGCAGCCTTGTTATTCTACTTCGTTCTTTGCTTGATTGAAGCAATTCCCTTCCTGACAAATGATATTTGAAAATTAATTTTTCTTTATCATCAGTATTAGTCCTACTTTTCCTAAAAGGAACAAGGAAAAAAGTAATCATGAGATCTGAATATCTGATTTCAGAATGATAGCCTTCTTATGT